CATCCACAGCACAGAACCGGGAGGACCAGACGATGCCCAAATACAGGCAAGTTCCGCTAATATGTCAGCGACCGTGCCGGCACAAAGTGCCACTGAGCACAAATATTCATTTGAATACGGCGCCATCTTGGATCGCCGGGGCTTGAGACAGACGCGGTGTGCAGGGAGGGGAGGGGCTGAGCTGGACAACGGAGCCTCTGTGTCTTCCCCCGAAGCGCACTCGCTAAATTAAGGCTTGGTACCTAATTTTCCCTTCCACTACCAGTTCATGACAGATTTAATGACATTCTGCATTTCAGACTGTTTTGAAATGTCCCTCATCTGTAACAAACAATAGTTTTGGTTTGCGTCTAAACAGAAAGACAGAATGTAATGTTAATGCCATTTCATATGGATTTTCTTGTTACAATAATCAAATACAGTACATATGTTCACTATGTTGTCATTTATCTTTCCATTCAAACAACCATTTACAGAAAAATATGCCATCATTTTGTCGATAGTTTGAAATGCAATTAATTATGATGAATTCGTTTTTAAGCTGTAATTAACTCGATTAAAAATTTGAATCGTTTGACAGCCCTAATATAAATATATTATAAATACAAATATCCCAAAGCTCCTTCTGAGCATGATGATGTAATGGTAGCGTGAGCTGCAGCAGTTAGAAAACTCGCTCAGATATTCAGAGAATGCAATCGCTCGTCAAAACACACAACACTCCATATGACTAATGCATCTGTGATTATTAAAAAGCGCTTTTATCAGCCGCGATGTCGTGACTGAACCCAGTCACAACACCGCGGCTGATAAAAGCGCTTTTTAAAAGCAGTGTGGACTCTTTCTCTGGATGACAAATATTACTGCATCAATGAAAGTTGTTGACTTTGTTTGACTGTTCTGACATTTGTTTTTTATTTTATTGCTAGCTGATGCTAGGGGCTTTGGAATCCAGGACATTTATCAACATTTCAACGACTCCTATGTGTTAAGTATTATCGCATTTCCTGTGTGATTCTCTGATCTGTTGTTGGCAAAATTAACAACTTTCTAAAGTCCTTCGGGATGACTGCTTTTGGGGCTATACAAAAATAAATAAATAGAATTGAATAGACAAACAGATGCAAGGCAGTCAATCTGTGTAGTACTGCATGATGTCTGCAGTAGGGAATTCCGTGGAAAAAATTATGAGCATTCAAATCCCCCAGGTTTTAACCCTGATGCTGAAAGACGCTGAGCCGATAACATGACGGTTCTCCACTGAAGAGGTGGTGGTGACATTTGTGAATATGTGTGAGAAGAAGCTCTGTGACACTGTATTTGACATGTGGGCTGAGAGCTGATTTGCTGGGGTGGTTCGCTCTTTTTTGCGTTTCTGTCAAAAAATCTGATTTAAAGTGATTGTCTGCACTTTGTCAGAAAGAGAGAGAGGTAACGACGCAAGCTCCCTCCCCCTTCCTTTCTGATTGGTCTTCACCTACGTTTCCATAACACATTTAAATGTTAAAGGGGACATATCATGAAAAATCCACTTTTTGTGCCTTAAATGCCTTATGTTGTGTAGTTGGAGCCTCTAGAAGTGCAAAAAAGTTGAAATCAGTCTCTTCATGGGTTGCAGAGAACACTTCATATTCTGTTTAGGTAAGATTTTTCAACCCGTTCTGATTTTGCCATTCTCTATTACGTGTTTAGAATTATTACGTCACAGTATTTGCAGCGAGACTGCTATATAAGGGCATGGGCGTCTAACAAAACACTTCGGCCCAGCCCTCCTCTTCTGTGCATCACTTTGAATTTGTAGTCCAAGCTCAAGGATGCCAGCGCACAGGGCTGGACTGGCCATCGGGCGTACCGGGCAATGCCCAAAGGGCCGATGCCCATATTTGGGCCGGTCTGTCTGCCTCATACAAAACACATGTTTATGAGAAGTGTAAATCCGTTGAGAATTGTTCAAGCGGGGCGCGCGTATCCGCGGGCACCTGCTGTATGTACTCGAACGGGATTCCGCCACCTCAGCGGCCGCAGTGTTCCGGGGCATCTGCGGCCGCTTTGTAATGAGCAGCTTCCGCGTCCAGCGGCTGCGAGAGGCTGTGAGTCCAGCCGCTCGCAGCCGCTCCACCTTGTTGCGGCTGAGCGCGCAGCCTCAACGTGGCCATGTACCCAACCCTATAAACGCGCACAGGACCATGCGTGTCTTTGAGTAATCTGTGCACCCAATAAATACACTGCTGCAGGAAACAGTCCGCGTCTCCCCTCTCCTCTCGAAGCGCGATTAAACGCCCTAAATAAAGCTCTGATACCTACATTTTGCATTGCATTAAAAGTTCATGTCTGAGCCCAAAAGTAATATGTTGTGAACAAATTAAACAGATTTAGAGCCAGCAAATGGCTGACAATATGCATTTCAGTCTTTTTTGACCAATTCTCGTCCCTGTAACAAACAATGCTGTCTGTGTCCACCTCCCTCACTCTGAGACATGTTCATTACTTTCTTGTAATGTAGACTATTGCATTTTATTTTATTGTTGAAACTGCACATATCCTGATCCTCTACAGTATTTGCTTCCACATACTGTATAAACTAGGAGTCGGCAACCTGCTGCTCAGGAGGCGCATAAGTCTCTTTCCTTCTGTAGAAGGAAAAACGTTCTTAACGTTTTTAAATGCTGTAAAATTATGCATAAGTAATATTCAATGTAAACATTTCTGTCAACGTAGTGCGTCATATCCTGCGACGTAGGCCCGCGCCAGGCGGCCGCTGTTGTAAGCAAACCGGCGTGTGAGCATCATAGACTGTGCGCATGGATCCCAAAGCTAAAAAGAGAAGAGTCGATAATAAGACTGGACTAAGAATGAAAATTAACATTTGCTTTCAGTCAATGAGGAAGGACTGCTTCATGTTTGCGATGTAATGAGAAGTTTCTATGAGATAATTGTATCTGTGCTTAGAAACTACAAAAATGGCCGCTCGGGGTGGCGTTGAACCTGTGTCACCTGAATGGGGGCGTGGTCAAAAGCACCTCATTTGCATTTAAAGAGATAGCACCAAAACAGGTTGCTCTCAGACGCACCTCAGAACAGGTGTAGAAGAAAGGCCCGTGGAGATACAAATAATGAGACTCAGACCCAGGCATTGCAGTTACGCTTTATATAGGCCACAAATTAATGATTTAGATGTAAAAATAAATTATTTGAAAACACGATATGTCCACTTTAAAGGGAAAACATATCATACATATACATTATTAATACACATGCACGGAGGTTTTCAGAATTATTTGTTAACGTTTTCATGAAAAAAAATAGTGTTTTAATGCACAAAAAAAGCAATCGCAGCAAAACCGGAAGTAGCTATTATCATGAATTATTATTATAGGACAAATTTGCAGAGGATCTGATTATGGATATAGGTTCAGTATATAAATGGGTAATTCAGCGCGGATGTTCAGAATTCTTTTTTCAGTTTTCATGTAGTTCCACAGCCTAATGGAGGCTTGATTCGGATGCTCCGCGAAAACAAACAACTGAGCATGCGCGCAGCTACGAGCATCACCGCCGATGATTGACAGCCCTTGGCATGACTCGATTGGTTAACGTGGACGGCATTGTGGATTCTGAGCTATAGCTAAGAGAAGGGAAGGCGGGACTTACCTGTAATATTAGAGTTAATAAAATGACTTATTTTATATCAACATTTAAGGCCAGGAGGTCAGAGATGGTTTGAAATAAAACTTTTGAATAAAGACCAAAGATGTAAAATGTAAATATCTGTTTATTTTAGTGTTTGCCAATTTGGCATTTTTGGATTTAAACCATTTCACAGAAATGACACGAGAGACCAATATGGTTGACAAGGTAAAAACCAATTAATAACACTGATCAGAAAAACATGACATTAAATATGTACTTATAAAAAGAAGATTTACACAGTGAGATTCAGTCATTATTCAGCAGCTTTGGTCTGGAGTTCAATTGAAAACAGTTTATGTTGGTTTGAAGAACTGTTCAATTCTTCAAACCAACTATCATGTGATCACCATCACTGTTACTTTTCGATGTAAGTCAATAGGAACCGGGGCAAGTTGGAGCAACACCTTCAGATTGGGCTTCATTGGTTAGCATTGTCCATCTATATAAAATCTATGGTTGCAACTGGGAACAGTAAGAAATTATTATTGATCTAGTAGTTGAATCTGTATTCTGACTTCTAACAGGGACGGAGCTTCATGAGTATATACAGTTAATTGGACCTTTTCTATATGTCTTATGCAACTGGCTGCATTCAAGTTGTAGAATTGTATTTTAATATTTCAGAAGATGCCAATACAATGAAGCATTTTGTGAAAGAAGTGTTGTTTTCCTCAGAACATCATTTGATAGAGACTAGATTCACAAAGCTGCCATATAATTGTGTTATAAGTCTGAAAGTATTTTCTACTGGCAGATAATTACTAGAGAGAGGCCATAGAGAGACCAGAGAGAGACCAAAGAGAGACCAGACAGACCAGAGAGGAACCAGAGAAAGACTAGAGAGAAAAACCAGATTTTTTATGTGCTTACAAAGAAGATGTTGGTGACAAGTTTTGTTTCAGGAGGTTTGTTCCAGGAATTAGAGAAATTAGCACTCACCATAGTTACCAGAAAGGATGTTTCAGCTGCATTTCTTTGGAATGTGTCACATGAATGCAAACTCTAGGTATAAATACAGTGATGGAGAGATATTGTAAAAAGGAAGTATGTTCCCATTTGTATTCCTCTTCCAAAGTCCAGCACAAAATTAAAACAGGTTCTCACACAGTCCTCCGCTCTTCTTGATACATATTGAACCATTTGTTTGGATCCAGTTTGGTCCATTTAACAGTTTTTCAGGGAATGTTGCAGCATTTTCCCAGATTATCCAGTGTTATTGGAGACTATTGGAGTTCAACTGAGACTCCAATTGAACTCATGCCTCAAGCTCAGTCCAGGGAATGTTCTGTGTCTCTCCAAATAAAAAGTCCTCATGTTTGTGTGTGTTTCAAACGTCTCATTCTCCACTTCTCCAAACGCAGAGTTTCAACCAGAGGAAACAGCTTTGTCTGCATATCTTTGCTGCTGTGAGGAAAAAAAAGGAAGAATAGTAAGTAAGTAAGTAATGTTTATTTATATAGCGCATTTTACAGACCAAGGTCACCCAAAGCGCTCTACAATGTTCAGAGTTCAGATATTGTTCCAGTCATTCCACACACGGCGATGACGGAATAGACCATTAGATACACAATATCAATTGAATTTAATGTATTTGTGTTTAGCCCCTAAATTACAACAGCTGCCGCCTCAAAGGACTAAGCCAAGAGATTCAAACAGTTTTAACACAGGAAATGCAATAATAATTTTTATTTTTATTAATTTGAAAATTATCATCTGGAAACACAGAAATTTGATTATAAAAAGCTTCATTTCACCTGAGAAATTACCAAAACTAAATTATGGGCTAGGCTGTAAAAAAATAAAAAAATAAAAATCCATGTCTCCAGGCTGTAAAACAGTTTCTGGCCTCTGTCAAATCTTTAGATCAGCATTTTCAAACAGAAAAGTGAAAAATAGAGAACAACCATCAGCCACCGACCCAAACAGTCAAATAATGGCTCAAAGGGCTATTTCTTACACAAAAGATAACATGTTTTCTAATAAGATGAAGACAGCATGTTGTAGTCCCATTTGTACACAACATTATACTTTCTGCTCTTTCTGTTGGACAAACCACAACATAAAGTCAGGTCCCTGAGCTTTAAAAGTCCTTCTTCAATCTGAATAAGTTGCTGAATGCAGTCGGCAATAGGAGACACATTTCTCGGATACTTTGAGGCTGCACCTCGCCTTCAACTTCAGCCTTAGGGAGTGTTTGCATTTGGCGTCAGTTCAGAGCATTTCCAAACTTGTTTTCATGTTCCGATAATTGTTTTGTGTTTTAGCTCCTCTGCAGAAACACTCTCTGCTTCTGCATGTATAATTAGAATCAAATGCTTTCTTCAGCTCCTGTTTGAGACCAATAATGTGGCAAAATAGTTGTTCACGGTGGAGTGGTTAGCCCTCTCACTTTAAGAAGGTCCTGGGTTGGAATCCCGATAGCAGTTGTGCATTTTGCGGGTTCTCTTGTCTTTGTTTTGTTTTTAATCTTTAAATAAGTAAATAATAATAATAAATTATAAGGCATTGGTTTTACACTCAAACACGCTTCACATGTTATTGTTCATTCACACCATACACAATGATGATAAACTACATTCATGCACTCATTCTAAGCAATGCTAATGTTGTCTCTAATGTCTGTACATGTTGCACATATATTTTCACCATATTGCCCTTGTACGGTCCCCAGTTGATTTGAGATTGAAACCCCTTCAATGTCTCCCATTACGTGTGACTTGGTCTTACCTCCACACATGCTTCAGTGGCAGCCTCTGTTTGCTTTTGTCTTTGGAAAGCTGTCGACTGTGAACAGACAGAAGCCTTTCAGACCTGCAGACACAAAAGCACATGCTTTAGGAGACTTTTGTGACTGATCATTCAAGCAAACTATTATACTGACAAGAAGACAAAAGAAAACACCAACTCTTCACTTTCAAAGCTATGTTGTGGGTTACAGTGATCCATCCCAGCTTATAATTGATTTCAATTAATTTTTGAGCAGGATTACCGAATGTCCAAAATCATCACTCTCCTTAGACCTTCCTGCATCTTTCAAAAATCCAGTGGGAAAAAAGTGAGGAGGCCCACATTGAAAGAGGGATGCGCTCCCACGGACGAACAGGCTGTAGATCTAGGTCTCAGACTGTAGAACTAGGACTGAGGCTGGTTTCCAGGCGGGTCGGGGGTCAGCCGACGGAGGTTATAACAGAGTGGAGGTCAGTAACTGGACACGCATTATCATATGGTAACATTATGTAAGGACAAAATTAAAGAAAAAAATATTACAGCAAAATAATGTTATTTTGACTTCAATGTTTTGAGTAGAGGAACGGTGTGACATAGAGCTTCTAATGTCTTCCTTTCATTTATCACACATTTCATGTTGCCCTGTCCACAAGAAGGCCAACTAAGGCCAAAACTCAAAAATGCATTATCAAACAAAGGCCGCTTTTTGGAGGTCTGAAAAATTACATTTTCAAAGCCAGTTTATAGAGTGGAGAGATCAGTTGAAAGAGACCAGAGAGAAAGCAGAGAGAGGTACGTGAGCAAGACCTAAGAGAGACCAGAGAGAGATCTGAGAGACAGACAAGAAAGAGACCAGAGGAAGACCTGAGAGACAGACCAGAAAGAGACCAGAGAAAGACCACTGAGAGACCCTTAACTCCGACAAGGGACAATTATGTGTTTGGTCAAACACATATTTCACAGGCCGTTGGCTGTGACTGATCAGGATCACACAGTGTGACAGCAGTGCGCAAATCGCTGTGGTTACACAGACGGACCCCGAATTTATCTGAGCCTTTAACGTCTACATACTCGTACTGCTTTTGTTCATGGTGACAGAAGTTTGTGCAGGTTCTGTCATTGTGGCGTTGACACCGGCACCGCGTACCATTCCTCCCAGCCCTCTGGGCCCTTCTGAACCCCTGTTTCCCCTCAGGTGCCTGTAGAGAGCGTTTTGTCCTTGGGGCGTTCCCCAACCCGTACGACACCACTCTCCTGCAACACACAGAAGAAACTGTTCTGTTTAGAAACATAATGCAACATGTTGACCGTTGTGTGACCATTTTGAACATCTCTGGATAAACATGTGTAGCTCTCTTCAAGGGAGCATCCAGCCTCCTGTACAGACGACATTCATATGCACGCTTGTGTCCCCCATCCTGTTCTTTGCCTCGTTTTCTCAAAGCTCATAAGGTGAGGGAATGTAGACTGAGAGGTCAATCACAAGCTCCTACTCCAGGCGCTGCTCCCTCTTCACAACAGTCTGATACAGTGACCATCTGTCAATGTCCCGCTCCATCCTCTCCTCACTGAGAACCAGAGAGACTGGAACTCCCCATGAGGAAGGACTGGGACCTTCTGGCCTGGAGAAGACCAGAACCTCTGCGCCCAAAGAGGACTAGGATCTCTCTATGGTCCAGAACTGTGGCAGGGGGTTTGGAGTTACTTGTGTTATACTAAGGATAAGTTCTTCAAACACTCAGATGCTCTAGATTGTCTTTTGTAAAAGTTTATAATTTACATGTCACGTAACACTGTGTGTTATTTTCACAGTCACAGACCTGATTGAACCCAAAAAGGAACATGTTGACTTACTCGGGCGTGTTGACCCAGATGATGTCCAGGTGACAGAAGTACACACACTCTTTGTCCAAGAACGTGGCACAAGAACATCGCTTTGTCCTCAAATGGGCCTGACTACTGCTCCTGCGTGTGGAGGAGACTGTTGGTTCTATTGAAGCCAAATCTGGAAGAAAGAAAGTCACACAGTCAAAACACAGCTCTCAACTGTGAGAACTTATGTGTGAGTTAATCAGTACTTTATGATGATGAATGTGTGATATGAGATGTTACCAGAAAGTATATAACAAATGACAACATTTCACGAATAAATCAGTGAACTTTGAGCCATTTATGTTTAGGTGCAGTAGAAAATATTTCTACTGCAAACAAAAATCAACCCAGAAAGTGCAATGAGTCACTTTTCCACCCACAGTAAAGCCTTTAGGATGGACATATCTGCTTTACTGACTCTATTCTGGTCTCTCACTGATGAAGAAAATCTTAAATTTGGCCAAAATTCGAGTCATTTTCACATAACCGACAGTTAAGTGCGAGTGTTCTTTAGAACTCTGGGGGATTTAAACCACGTGTGTGACTTAAAGAGCGAATACAACAGCGTGAAAAGACTCTGTTAAAATTCAATTCAATAATTAAACTTTTCCCAATTTATTTCCTGCAATATATAAAACAGGGCAAACATTACGTACACCCGTGTTTAAAAAAATGAAAAACGATTGAAATAAGAAATAGCAAGAATTAATACAGTTCGCGAAGATTTTCTAAGTGCTAAGTCGAAGACAAAAGACATAAGGTTGCACCACGATAATGTAGCTCAATTTTATTTCTATTACTACTCTATGTGAATCTAAAGAAAACGGCGTAGCTCATTGTATGTTTCATCTATGACTGACCTGCGCTCAGAACCAACTGCAGAGTCCCAAACAGCGACAACAGAAAGTACAAATCGATGGTGTGTTTGTAATCCATCAGATGTGAGAATATTAGTCCTTCCAGTTTGGCCGCGCGTAAACCCTGTGCGTGTAGTTACCCAGGCGCGCGGGGCTGGGCGTGCGTCTCTTTGGCTTGCGCTCTCTCACTGCTGCGGTTTTATACTCTGCTCCTGGCTCTACTCCTTCTCAGCTCTCCCCCCGCTTCTGTCTGTGTGTGCGCAGAAGTGTAGAGCCAGGGTTTGGAATGCAAGGATTGTGCATGACCACAGGAGGGCGCGTTGAGCTTGAGGAACGCATAGACACACATTCTCTAAAGCAGGGGTGTCAATCATACGCATGGGCGTCGGACTGGGGGGTAAAGGGTACCGAGTACCCAGGGCCCAAGGCGGGGAGGGGCCCTCTAAAGTGTGTCTTTATATTTATATGTATTAGGCATTATGGTATATTCATCTTATTACAATTTGAATGAAAGGGGCCCTGTATAAAAATAACCAACGTTTTAACCTCAGTTTTCCTCTAAAAACAAATGTGTATGCTGTATCAGGGCCCTGCCACCCCCTTACAAAAGATCAAATGGTACGACCCACATGTGCGCTTGTTGCTGTGTTGCTGCCGCTGCAGCGAGTTGACTTCTTTGACAAGCAGCGGCAGAAGCGGGAAAAATAGAAATGTCTTTTCCAAAGAAAGGAAAATCAGGATTTCAGAAAAGAAAAGAAAGACAGGACAGGGAGAAAAAGTGTAATGAGGGCAAGCAATTGCTTACTCAGTTCTTCCACATGAGAGGTGAGTAAATAGAGACGTGTTAAGGCCACATCAGGAGAAAACCCAGAGACATTTGTTTCTGTATTCTAAACTCACGGAGAGCTAACACTGTGCTGTGTACGTGGTAAAAAAAAAACCTTATCCAGAGTGACACACACAGACGCGCAGCTGTAAAGGGAGCTCACACACACTGCTGTCCACTTCTCCTTCAAAGGCAGGCAGCAAAGAGTTATTTTCATGTAACCCTGTACCCTATATTCCCACTATTGTCATAATCTGTCCGTCCGAGTCTTGCAGTCATAAGTCACGGGTCACTCACTGGCCTCTGCATTGGATCATCTGGTTATAACCATACAAATCACACGCCCCCGCACCGATTTGGAGGTTTCTGGTGACATCTAGTGGTCAAAATAATGTAAATAAGTCTAATGGTCTAAAGGGTGAAATGAGACTTTCTGGTGTGTAAACTATTGCTTTTAAGCCAGAAATGACAACTGACAATCACAGCCCAGACCATGCCCAACAGTAAGCCCCCCTTCTCCACTGGTGCCATTTTTACAGACAAATTTCAAATGTTCATGTGGGCGGAGTAAGGCTAGGCACAGGTGTTTGGTTGAAAATGGAATAGGCTTATTTCAAAAAAGATTGCATCGATTGAATTTTCACAAAGTCTAAATTGGTGGATAATAATTAACCATAAAAAGTATTTTGTTGTATGTTTGTACAATAACAAATAAGTAACTTACCTACTCATGGTCCATACAAATAAGATAAAATATACTATATATTTTATATGAATAGCCATATACACATATCACATAAAGGCATGCAGGCATATACGTAATAGCTATACACTGTAATGATGGAATATAGTATCTGTTTGCAACCCATTAAAGCTACTTTATTTCAGTTTCAGGAAGAGAAGCATCATGGCCAGATGAAGGCACTAGTAGTGAGGGTTTGACAGTGAGGCATGGTGAGCATTTATCAGTCACTGATTGAACTGTTTTCAATAAGTTAGTAAGTTATTACTTTATAAGTTTTACTGTATACACTAATTCTATATCATTTTTGTCTGTATTGTGTCCATGTAGCAGAGGCAGAGGCAGAATTAGAAGAGGATGTAGAAACTGAATTAAGTGATGAAAGGGAAAGCGAAAGTGATGAGAATGTGGAGAGGATTGAGGAGGAAAGAGACGACACCAAGAGACAGAGTAATAATGATGAGGGATTGTCAGAGGACCCAGGATTATGGCCAGAGAATCTCACCGATAAACAAAGGAAAATAATTGTTCATCTACTAGCCAGTGATGGTGGTTCAAAAACAGGCAATACCATACCCAAAGATATGGAGGGCAAACCATTCCCAAATTATCTCCAGTATGCCAAGTCCGCTAATGGCCATCAACAATATTGATGATAATAAAACCAAAGGACATGAATCAGAATTGTATTAATAATTAATTTATATATATATATATATATATATATATATATATATATATATATATATATATATATATATATATATATATATATATATATATATATATATATATATATATATATATATATTATATATATAAGAAACGTGTAGTGGGGGCCCATTGAGACTGTTTGTACCCGGGGCCCTGAATTTGGTGCTACCCCCCTGATCATACGGCCAGTGGGTGCTTGGTGGTTTCGGTATTGAAGGAATATAATATTCGACGCCACTACGAGACTCATCACAGCGAAAAATATGACTGCTTGCAAGGACAACTGAGAAGAGATAAGATTAACGAATTGCTGGCGGGTCTGAGGAAACAGCAGTCAACTTTCATCAAGAGCCGAGAAGTAAGTGAAGCAGCGGTAAAAGCCAGCTACCTAATTGCTAGCGAAATAGCATTAGCATCGAAGCCGTATTCCGACGGTGACTTTGTTAAACGATGCATGATGAAGGCGGCTGAACTTGTATGTCCCGAGAAGCGACAAGCTTTTGCCAATATTAGCCTGACGAGGAATACTATAGCTATTATACTATAGCTATACTATAGTTGCCACGGATTATTGCATTTTCCGTGGCAACTGACGAGAGCACTGACATCACAGACGTGGCCCAACTGGCCATATTTATTCGAGGAGTTGATGAGACATTGACTGTTACTGAAGAGTTTCTTGAGTTGGTGCCAATGATGGACACCACAACAGCCGAGGACATTTTCGGCTCTGTCGCTGCTGCATTGGACAGAGTTGGAGTGGACTGGTCCCGCGCTGTCAGCCTGGCTACAGACGGCGCGCCATCCATGGTCGGAAAGAAAGCAGGTGTCGCGACAAAGTTCAAAGACAAAGTACAAGCCCTTAATGGAGGAGATCGTTTCTGGACATTTCACTGTATTTTGCACCAGGAGGCATTGTGTTGCAAGTCGCTGAAAATGGACCACGTCATGGAGGTGGTTGTTCGCACTGTAAATTTCATCCGGTCCAGAGGTCTGAACCATCGTCAAAGTACAAGCCCTTAATTTTAATTTTAAAGTGCATTACTATATTTTTCAGTACCAATTAAAGTTTTGTGCCTTTGTACAATCAGTGGGATCAGTTGCAATGCATATTTGTGAATGATAAAAGTAAATTGCACATTTGTCTATGGAAATATGAGGTCTTTCATGAAATGTTTTGTAAAAGGATAGTTCATTAAATTTCAATATTTTCCTAATGTTCTTGTGCTTCTTTACACCAAAACAAAGGAAAGACATGATATTTTGGTTATTTATAGCAGAGTATGGTATAATTTTAATGGTCCGGCCCACTTGACATCTCCCTAGGCCGTATGTGGCCCACGATGCGAAATTAGTTTGACACCCCTGCTCTAAACCAAGCTGAAGCTGCGCTTTTATGCAGCCCACAATCATAGTGGATGCGTTATCTCTAGATTCTCTCCATAAAACCCTCAAATAAGGTAATACATATAAGAGTAACAATTGACTCAGACTAACATTTTAAATATAATTGCCGGGATCAAAATATAAAGCAGACTTGGAGATTCAAAGCATGCTTTTGTCTCCAGTAGGTTATAAATTACTACAACAGCAGTTGTTTTGCTCTAAAACAACTGCAGTATATTATATGCTCCAGCTCGAGTACTGATTAGAACCAGGAAGTACCATCACATTATTCCTGTTCTCAGGTCTCTGCACTGGCTTCCTGTAGCTCAGAGAATAGACTTTAATAAAACAAACAATGTAAAGAAGGTTGTACTGCTCTATTACCTTATATGCAGGGGTGCACATAAGTGGTACGCAGGTACGCATGCGTGACAAATATCAGAAATGCGTACTTTCACTTTAGAAAGCGCTTTTGCGTACTTCACATGGACCAGTCCTTCTCAAATAGTGGGGCGCGTTGCAATAACATCCTCCGTTCTGACCCCGGGAGAAATTGTGCCAGCTCAGCGAACGCGCGCGGACCATAGACGCGCCTACAGAACCATACACACGTGCGGGTCTTGCCTGTCTCCCCCGTCTTTCCCCCATGCCTCTCCCACGTCTCCCCCAAGTCTCCACACGAAGCGCAGCCAAAACTCCACTGAATTAAAGCTCAGGTACCTACATTTTCGCTTGCATTGAAAATGCATGTTATTTGTGCACAGAAGTAAAATGTTGTGACCAAATCAAACAGAACAAACCAAAATTTTGTTTATTTTGTTTTACGTAATTAAGAAAGAGCCCTGTGAGTCATTATTTTACTTTTTGGGCCGAGAGTGGATTTTTTTCAATGATATTTTCGTTAGTGCCACTTTATGGCCAAACTCTTTTTGACGTATTGTATTGAGAAAGATGTGTTAGTCCCACATTATTATTGGTTGTTTTATTACTTATTATCACAAATTATTTTGAAATTATGTTTCTATCTGCTACAGAGGCTGAGATATCAATCATTCTGTAGACGTTGAATTTCAGCATTAAAAAGAAGCAAGTTTAAAATCTCGATTAAGAACCGCGCGACAAATGAGTACCAAACACCATGTCCTGGTACTCATCTGAGTACCTCACTGAAAAAGTTATGTGCACCCCTGCTTATATGTTTCTGCTGTATAATTCCTCCTTTGTCACAGGTGACACATGATGGTGTCTCTTATCAGCTGCTGTTGCCGGATGCGGCCAGTCTGACGGATTTAACAGATCCGTGCCTGTGCAGAAATTTAGAGCCAGGGTTTGGAGAGCAAGGGTCGTGCATAATCACAGGAGGGCGCAGCAGGTTGAGCCCAAGGAACACATGGACACACACATTCTCTAAGTTGAATCAAACTGGAGCTGTGCGCTTTTGTACAGCCCACAATCATAGTGGATGCGATCAAAAAGATTCATCAGACCTGTTTTTCCCCAGTCCATTGTGTGATCAGATCTGTTAGATCTGTCAGACTGGCCGTAAGACACACGTCACACCATCACGTGTCACCTCTGACGAAGGCAGAAGTATATAGCCGAAACATGTCAGGTAATAAATAATACATTGGTTTTATATAGCGCTTTTTTGGACACTCAAAGACACCTCACTCTACATACACAGTGGGGATAAACTACAACTGTAGCCACAGCTACCCTGGGGCGCACTGACAGGAGCAAGGCAACTAGTACTGTATGTGCTATTGGCCCCTCCAAATTCACACACACACTAGACTCATTCTAGGCAATGGGGGTGAAGTGTCTTTCCTAAGGACACAATGGCAGTTAGTCACGTTTCAGCCGCAGCCGCTCCATTGTGTCATCTGGTGTTCACAGATGCCAAGGACACAACAACAGCACACATCAGTGGGAGTCGGTAGAGAAAGTCTTGTGGTGGGCTCGAACGCACAACCTTCAGGCTCAAAGGCCAATGTTCGACCAACTGAGCCACTGTTGCCCCAAACAAACAATGTTAAGAAGCTAGTAATGCTTATTAAAAGAACCTTCAAAGCCTTAAAGATAAGAGGACAAAATTCACTTACCTTGTGCTTGGCTGTGTCTAAGAATAGTCAAAACACAAACCCTAACCCAGTGGAAACAACCGCAGAACTCAAAGCAGAGCAACCGCAACAGCTCTGAGTCCATACAAACATGCAATTCAAAATATCATTCACTATTTAATGCTATACATTTTCTTAAATCCAGGACTGAGGCTGTAGAACTGTTCTCCTGTTCAATATCTACTTGCTGCCGCTAGTTCAGTTAATACGGCGTAACAACGTGTCCTATCCCAACTATGTAGACAACACTAGATCTATGTCTCACTGACAGCTGGTTGAAGATGGACCAGTGGACTCACTCCTTCAATGCATCCAAGTCTTTGGACTTCAGAAATAAAGAAAGAGCGTTATGTTATCTGCCACCTTCAGTCTCTCTCCGTAAAACCTTTAAAAAGGGTCATAAATCTCTAGCTAATAATGAACAATGAACAATAATGAATGAGTGACACATTCATAATAATATATATACTGTATATATATATATATATTTTTTTTAAATACACATGCACGGAGGTTTTAAGAATTATTTGTTTATGTTTTCATGACAAAAATAATGTTTTAATGCACGAAAAAAGTGATCGCGGTAAACCCGGAAGTAGCTATTAACATTGATTGAACATTAAAGGACACATCTCCAGAGGATCTGATTATGGATATAGGTTCAGTATATAAATGGGTAACTCAGCGCAAATGTTCAGAATTCTTTGTTCAGTTTTCATGAAGTTCCAGAGCCTAATGGAGGCTTGATTCGGAGGCTCCGTGTAAACAAACAACTGAGCATGCGCGCAGCTACGAGCATCAGCGCCGATGACTTACAGCCCTTGGCATCACTTGATTGGTTAAAGTGGACGGCATCGTGGATTTTGAGCTATAGCTAAGAGAAGGAAAGGCGGGACTTACCCGTAATATTAGAATTCATAAAATGACTTATTTTATATCAACATTTAACGCCAGGTCAATTTAATACAATTCTTAAAATTTGTAATTCATTTAGAGTTCCAGACTATCACTTTCATTTGATTGATTTTGTGTTTAGTTTATTTTATTCTCCCGCCATAGGTCTTTATTATACATGATAAAATAATCAAGTCTTGAATAGGAACGATGTGTTGCAAAGTAAAATGTATAATCCCTCTGATAGGGGTGTAGTTCACGGCAGGCACACATCCAGGGCTGGACTGGGACAAAAAAACGGCCCGGGCATTTTTTCCTTCTAACCGGCCCAGGCATGTTTTTTTCACGTTTTTTACAGTTTGTTTACCAGGGATCGGCAACTCAAAAGGTTCAAAGAGCCATATTTGACAAAAAAAACTAAAAACATCTGTCCGGAGCCGCAAAAAAATAACAGCCTTGTATAAAGCTTATATGAAGGTTACACAATGTAGCTACATTAGCTACATTAGCCTATTATCTAAATGACCAAGTAAAGGCTACAAATACATGATTAGCATTCATGATTATCAAATGTGTGTTTTCACTGCAGCGTGTCCTGGAGAGAATGACGCACCACGTGATGACTCTGCTTTAACTTTGACTTCCATTTTTTTGCCTTCATGCAACTGTAGAAATACAGTAAATAAATCTGCTTTTTGGCTCAAAGGTCACACACCTGCACTGTCCGCTCATATCGATTACGTCACAGGCTGAAGTTTGCTGGAGCTGAATGTCCTTAATGGCCTTTTCTTTCACAGTCTTTGCGGAGGTTTTTGAAGTCTGAAAAAGGTGCTCCGGATTTTGTGTGAAAGAATCCTTCATGTAATTCCTGTGAACGGTATTTAGTGCTTCATTGTTCCTCGTGTTGCAACAAAACTTCCTATTACATCGCAAACATGAAGCAGTCTTTCCTCATTGAATAAAAGCAAATGTTCAGTCTTGTCCTTAGTCCAGTCTTATTATCGACTCGTTCTCTTTTTATCTTTGGGATCCGTGCACACACGCCGGTTTGTTTACAGCAGCGGCCGCCTGGCGCGGGGCCGCGCCACAGGATATGACGCACTACGTTGACAGAAATGTTGAAATTGAATATTACTTATACACATTTTTACAGCATTGAAATACGTTAGGAATGTTTTTCCTCCTACAGAAACCACATTCAAACTAGAAATAAAATATAGCCCTCCCACTCCATTTTCAGACATTTTTGAAAAGGCTCCAGGAGCCACTGGAGGAGCACTAAAGGTTGCCGACCCCTGGTTTATACAGTATGTGGAAGCATACTGTAGAGGATCAGGATGTCTACAGTTTCAACTAAAAAATAAAGTGCAATAGTCTACATTACAAGAGAGTAATAAACATGTCTCAGAGTGAGGGAGGTGGACACAGACATGAGAATTGGTCAAAAAAGTCTGAAATGCATAATGTCAGCCATTGGCTGGCTCTAAATCTGTTTAATTTGTTCACAACATTTTACTTTTGGGCTCAAACATGAACTTTTAATGCAATGGAAAATTTAGGTACCCGAGCTTTAATTTAGAGGAGAGGGGAGACGCGGACTGTTTTCTGCAGCGGTGCATTTATTGGGTGCACAAATTACGCAAATACATGCATGGTCCTGTGCGCGTTTATGGTCTTGGGTACATGGTCACGTTGCGGCTACGCGCTCACCGTGTTGTGTTGTGAGCGGCTCCCGGTGAGCGGTTCCTGCGTCCAGCTCAGAGCCGCTGGATGCGGGAACACTGCGGCCGCTGAGGTGGTGGAATCCCGTTCGAGTACATACAGCAGGTGCCCCGCGGACACGCGCGCTCCCCTCAAACATTTCTCAACGGATTTACACTTTTCACAAACATGTGTTTTGTATGAGGCAGACAGACCGGCCCAAATATGGGCATCGGCCCTTCTGGCATTGCCCGGTACGCCCGATGGCCAGTCCAGCCCTGCACACATCTCCTATTCCTAATTCCTTCCTTCCCTCCATTAACTTTGATTTTTTCCCCCCAGTATTATTGTGTGATGTCTGTGCGGAGGAGTCCTCTAGGGTTCAGTCTCTCATTAAAATCACCTCCACAAATGACGATACCTTGTGCCTTTGTGGTGATATATTTTCAATGTATAATTTAATATAATATATTGTCCACACTCCTGTGGACTCACCACCTGCAGGAGGATCAGTGAGGGGCTGGTACTATGTGTACTGGGTGCAGCTCTGACCTCCATCCCCCTGACCCAGAAATGGATTAACGGGAAGAAAATGGATGGATGGATGGATATAATATACCATTGTCAGGTGCCATTCCACCAAAAATAGTCAAAATAAGAAGGTCTTGGTCAGACCTTGTGTACTTTTGGATTTGGTTTCCAAATAAACTGAACTGAACAAATGTTAACTTTCTAGCCATTCATGAGTTATACAAAGTGCCTTTTTCCTTATCCTTCCTATCTTTTCGTCATCCTTGTTTAATGACCTTTGTGTCATAGATCTTAAAAATGTGTTAACTGCCAACCTAAAGCTGCTGTGTGTCAAAAGAGGTAAACTTTAAAGGATACAAAGGGTTGAGGAAAAGGGTATTTTTGCTGAATTTGGATGTAGTCCTTGTGTTTGTCTCCCCACTACCCTAAGTGGGATAAACGGATAAGGTTTGTCACATCTGCTTCACTTCCTCTCTGTGGATTCCCTGGTGCCACTTCATCTTGTCCACTAGGTAGCGGCGTCTGCTCAGCCGTGACTCTGCTGCAATCTTGGCCGCTTCTGGAGGTGAGACACGCGCGTGGGGAGTGCGGCTATAACACTAATTCACAATATTCTTGCCCAGTGTTGTTTCAGTTGAGTTCTGAGTTCTGAGTTGACACCCATGCTTTAACTGCAGAGCTCCTGGTTAGAAAATTCAGCCCAAACACATGTAAAAATAGTGTTTAGTTTAGTTACATAAACACATATTTTTAGCTTTCGTATTGTGTATTGATCTTTTATCCAATCAGTGCCTGGCTCATTCATTCACCCACAGCCTGTTTGGATCAAGCTCCATGTTAAAAGCTTTTATATAATACATAATAATGTTTAATTATTTGTTTTTAGTCATTATTTATTGAAGAGTCACAAATTGTTGTGACCAAACTCAGCAAGACTACATAACAATGTGTTGTACATGTTGTAAAAGGGTAAAGGGATTTATCTTCTATTTGGACAGTGTAACAAAATAAAGCTGGGGTTTGTAACTTTTTAACCACAACAGTAGAACTCTGTCATAAGATCCATCAATAGTTCCTCGCTTTAAAACAGTTTGCTTCTATTGCTAGTTTTCACATGGATCTTTGGCCTCTGGCACATCTGATCAGCTTTTTCAGACAGGAAAGTGAAAAAGGGAGGAACACTCTCACTCAGCCAATCAGCTCTCAGCCCTAAGATCTAAGTAGTGACTCACAATGGTTGTTCTTACACGAAAGATAACATGCTTTCTAATAAAATGAAATCCAACCCCTGGACAAGTCTGGCAAACTAAAGTGGCCCTCCTAGTTAGTTTGGACACTCCTGATATTGTGGCCTGATTTGGTCACATTTTACTTTTAATTGACATATTTTGTTGGACACGTTCACTCTTTTTAATGTACTGTGATTATTTACTATTATGATAAGGTCTATTATGAAGGTTTGTATCTTGTTTTGTTAAGCACCGTTGTAAATCCTTTATGACAAAAATACAGGAAAAAATCATTGTAGAGAAAGTTTGTGACATCACTTGTATTTTATTACCAAATCTTTACTGGTACATTGAAGAATATTGAGACAGCCATTGTGTAAAGCTACCATCATGACGCGCAATGGACTCCACCGAGGAGCAGGATAAATATTTCACATCACTATATATAAACACTGCCCCCTTCATAGAAATGCACTATCACAATCCACCCAACACACGCGCAAAAACTCAAAAGAACACAAGCCACGACCGAAGGAAACTATGTACAACTGACTCCATAAAGGCACACGTGTCTGTACAACATTTACAAAAAGCAAAATTCCAAAGAATAAAAATAATTGGTCATTTCATAATATCAACATTAGATAAGATTGCACCATTGTGTCATGTCAGCATCTGTGCTTTTCCAAGGCGGTTTGCGCACACGCAAACCCCTGAAGTGTTTTTTAAAAAGTTTCTGAAAGTGACAAAAGTTACAAAAACATAGATTTCAGCTCAGGTGGCTATGACCAGTCTGTCTTCGTCATCGCTGGACGTTTCGTGGTAATCTTCCATGGAAGTTTTAGCCGGTTTTGTAAACCGGCTTTCAGGATTTTTTCCCTCTGACATTGTGTTTAATTCTAGGTTTTCCGCATTGGACAATTTGTTGCTCTTAGTATTCGCTAGAACCATATTGGCATGAATAAGATTACCGTGGCTCCCATTTGCATGGCTAACATTGGCCTGGCTAACATTGGTGGGGCAAACATTGTCGTGGCTAACATTGGCGTGGCGGACATTTGCTTGGCTGGAGCTCATCATCGGCAAAATGCTAGCTAACGTCACTGTGGGCGATCCCATCATCTTCCCCGGATTCTGTCCTGGTGTTTCCGAGCTGTCCCACCTCTCCAAACTCCCCAAAATTGGACTCAGCGTGGGGACTGGACTCACTGACGGGATAATTGCTGCGATGTTAACAATTTGCAGGCCGCTGCTCTGTGACGTGGGGCTTGCCGCCAACACCTGCAGGCCGAGTGTGGCGTTCAGTGTCAGCCCCTGCGGTTGGATCAGCTGCGTCTGCGCTAACCCCGAGTTTGCAATGATGTTGAGCGACTCCAAGTTCAGTGGTTGGAGCGTTTGTGTGACTGGAAAGCACGGGACCGCATTGTTTTGATCTGGCAACAAAAATGGCTGATTTTCACCGCTCGGGTTAGTGTTTTGTGGAGACAGTGGGCTGGTGTTTCGGTGGAGGACTGCAGGAATGGTGAGCTGGACTTGCGCGCCTTGGATGGGCACGAAGGTTGAGTAGGCAGAGTACGTAGGCAGCAGCTGGATGCCTCCTAGTGGCAGGGAGCTGTAGGAGGAGCGCGGGGGTTGCTGGGAATGCAGCGGCAGGTGGCTGAAGAGGTGCGTGTGTGGGAGGGCCGCGCCGTGGACGGATGGGGTGTTCTGGGGGAAAAGGAGAGGCGTGTGCACCGGAAAAGTGGAGGTCTGCGTGCCACGATCCACTGGCTGAGGCAGGTCTGAGGCGGGGGTTGTAGGGGGCAAGGAGACCTGAGAAACAAAAGAGGCAGAGATCAGTGGTTTATTGTGAACATGGATCCTCATGTTAATGGATGAAAATATATTATCAAAGGAGAACATTTTCAGGTTGTTCAAACTAATCTAAACCACATTTTGTCATTGGTGTTTAAGTCTCACATATCATCCTGACGTACAGCGAGCAAGCGATGCCTCAAACAAAAAAACCAAAAAAAAAACAAAACAAAACAAAATATGCAGCATGATGATTTTGTTGCGAGTGATTCTATTGGTTCAGAATCCAAACCATTCAACTCATCTAGGGACGTAAACACACTTCTGGTGCTCTTTTTGAGATTCTTGACATTTCCTGGTTGCCGTTTTTTGACATGTTAGATGCATAATGAGTGAGTTTTATTTAAATGTTCTATTATTATTGAGCTCAATTCAATACAGATGAATGAAATTTACAGGCTCAGCAGTTCTTATTGTACAGTCTGACAGCAGCAGGAAGGAAAGACCTACGGAACCTCTCCTTCACACAGCGAGGGTGAATTAGTCTGTCACTGAAACTGCTCTCCAGACCAGAGAGAGTGTCATGCATGGGGTGACAGTCATGGTCCAGCATAGATTTTAGTTTGCTCAGGACCCTCCTGTCCCCCACCTGCTGCACTGTGTCCAGGGAACAGCCCAGGACTGAGCTGGACTTCCTGATGACCTTGTCCAGCTGTCCAGAAACATAACTCAATCAATACTTTAACAGTCAGACCATTAACTCTCACCAAACACAGCCCGCAGGGTTGTCTTTTTTACGTGTATAGTTAGATCTTGACCACTGAAAACTGGAACTCTCTCTCTTACCCGTGCAGCTTTAGCGTTGTTGCAAGGCGCCGGGGGAGAAGTGGGCGGAGCTTCAAAGTCGGGGAAGTCTATGGACATCTGCCGACAGGGCGACACAGGGCTCATCATGTGGACGGACTCTGTGTCGGACACTTCCACCACTACTCCAGCAGAGGGCATCTTGGACAGCTCCCCCAAAGCGCCTTTGTGGTTGAGCTGCTTGGGGCTCAGCATGGGCACAGACTCGCTGTCGGACACGCTGTTCTCGGCGTGTTGTTGCATGAGCGCCGAGCTGATGGACATTTGTGCAAGCAAGGCACTGGGGGGAGCGTCCATGTCGCGGCCGGGAAAGTGCTGGGGGCTGGCGGACACGGAGGGGTTGGTGGACAGTCCCGACTCGGCCTGGGAGTCTTCCTCTTCTTCCTCATTATCGTCGTCTTCGTCAGAGTCGTCAGAGTCTTGGCGGTCTGCACTGCTCACGTGGCTGCGGTCGCCTGAGAACAAAGAACAATTAAGTTACAACAAACCCAACACATAAGGAGGCAGCTCGGGCTGGGAAATAAATCTAATTAATTTGATCAATCAGTTTATGTCAATATGATGAAATCGAGGTCTGGATAATGTGCCGGTTTCTGCTCTAGTTCCGGCCATAAAATATAATTATTGTGTACACCATGTGCACTTGCATAATGCATATAGTATTTGTAATCGTAATAATTCTATTTTAAATTGTATACCTTAGAAGTGTATGCAGATTTGTATTATGCCTTACTCTATTCTCTATTCTTTACCTCTCTTTTCTGACTGATGCACCGAGCCAAAGCAATTTCCTAGTCTGTGACTTCCTGTTATTCACATGGCAATACAAATGATTCTGATTCTGATAAATATGGGCGGTGAACTGCTTTTTCTCTTTCCTATTCAAACTAATAGACTTTCACTCATGTAGAGCCCATGACTTGCCATGAGTACGCCCTCCCACAGAAGACAGGAGACGTGTTAGGGAGTGGGCTCTAAAGCCTAGTGTACTCGCGCGGCGCGGAGCTTACGAAGGTGACGTGACGTCACTTGCGCAACGCGTTGGTCACCGCAAGGCCCTTACGTTGCCTGTCCCTGCGCAGCATCGGATTTTTCTAACTACGTAAGGGTCGCCGCAAGGAAGCTCCGCTGTGATTGGTCCGTGTGTGTGTATTGGAAAGAAGCACGGAGCGGCTGCAGGGAACATGGACGAGGCACTATGGAGCAGAGAGCTTCAAGCTTCGAAGAAACCAAAGGAAAAGTAGTTTGGGCTCATGGCAGACCCTGATATACGCGGAGACCGTGGACTAGAGTTCTGTTGCATATCTAACATATATATAACTTATAACCTGTGCAGTCGTTTCTTTTGCACTGTTCCTGTCTTTGTTTGAATCTGCACTCGTAGCTTATCGCGTCTGTTCCATTCCTCCTGCACTAATAAATTGTTCATGTTTGCCTCAGATATTTACCACTTTTTGTATGCTGTTTGTGATGAATACAATTTAATAAGAACTATGTTTCCAACAAGAACTATCTTTATTCACAAAATCACAGTTAAATGAGTTAAGAAATAATGAGTCCATAGAACTATCACATAAACCTACAGTAGAAACACATGTAATGATCTCAAACAGCTTTGTTTTTGTTCATGTTTTTGTTCTGAAGAGGAGAAAATAGCAACGTAAATGAGACCGCTTTGGTATCTCAAGCAACTCCTGTGAGATTGCCATCGTGTGGTTGGTTGTGCGATTACAACATTCTCCTCAAAACTCCGGAAGGAGTATAAATTAAATTGTGCTTGCGGAGGTCCACCGCAACCGCTAACGTAAGCAGCGGCGCGCAAGTATACACTAGGCTTAAAGATGCGTTAGATAGTGGACTAAGACTTTAGAGACTGCTCCCTAACACCAAAGACGTGTTAGGGAGCAGTCTCTAAAGATGTGTTAGGGACCAGGCTCTAGCGTTCACACCAGTTCATGAGTTGCGCCCAATTTCAATGCAAAGTCAATGGGGACATCCGTTCGCGGCACGCAGGTTTGTCCAGCGTGGTCACTGGAACAAAAGACAGTCTGAGCAAGAAGACAAAAAACTCGAAAACAGTCAAAATAGGAGCTAAACCAGGACTAAACCAGGACTGACAATGGGGGACACAGTATTTGCGAACATATGCCTCCAGCCTGAATTGTCATTCTCCTGAGACTATAAAAACCTGTTCGTCGATGCGGAAGTACTGGTTAGTAATAAAATAAACCCAAGGCGCAGCTCCGTGAACACATAGTTATATAAAGTCTCTGCTGAAAAGACACTCCTGAGCTGCATTTGTGGAGAAGAACTTAACACAAAAAGCCGCTACCTTAACCCTGTAACATCAAAGCCCTGCACTGCGTTCAAACGTTGTTGGTGTGAACACAGCTTTAGGGACCCCGCTCTAAAGACATGTTAGAGACCCCGCTCTACAGAAGTTTTAGTTACCAGGCTCTAAAGCTATGTTTTGGAGCGGACTCAATAACATGTGTATGGGAGCAGGCTCTCTTTTGATTTGGGGCAGAAAGCGTCATCTGAGTACACATCAGATGACACTTTCGGCCCTCAAAAATAAAAAAAGAGCAGAAAGTGCCGCGGGCATATCTATGAAAAGTAATAAATAAGCACGCAGGAAACAGCCGGTGAATGCATCTCCACCGCAAGGCTTGTTGCACTTTCTAAATGCAGCGCTAACTATGAGCTAGCGTAGGCGGCTCACAGCGCGAGGGATCCGCAGAGGCTAAAATTAGAACAACTCAGAAAAGGGAAAAAAGCCGAATGTCAGGGCTCCACGCAGAGAGGAAAAGCGAGTGTTACCTACGTGATGAGCCTGGAGAGCACTGAAGCAAAGGAAACTAATGAGACATTATGTAAAAAAACACATAATTAACAGGTGTTTTTTAAAGCTCTGTATTTTTGATTGTGAATATTTTAAAGCAAGGATGGTCTTTTTTGCTATTTCAACTGTGTTCCAATTTTGTACCTGGAATTGCATTTAGCTCCATCACCACAATGTCAAGCACTACCTGCCCCCCCTCACAAAATTAACTGTTTGAAGACAGATCTGCTTTTCTGCCTTCTTTAATAACATCAATAGTACATGCAGATCTGCCTCAAAATGTGCTACCCAACGTCATGCTTCCTACGGTAACTAACTTTCCAACCACAACAATGAAAATCCATGTCACTGGTTTGTGGCTCTAAAACAATTAGTTTCTATCTAGTTTTCACATGCATGTATATCTGTCACGTCAGCTTTTTCAGACAGAAAAGTGGAAAAGATAGGACCACCCTTATTCATTCAATCAGCTCTATGCCCTAGTAAAATGGTGACTATTTCTTACACAAAATTGTGTTTTCTAATAAGATGAAGAGAGCATATTGTGGTCCCTTGCTCTCTGGTCTGTCTCTCTCTGTCTCTCTTTTTAACATGCATGTATTTTCGGCCTCTGCCACATCTTTGGATCAGCTTTTTCACACAGAAAAGTGAAACAGAGTGGTTCAGGAGTGAAGATGAGCTCTCACCAGAATCTTCTGCGTCCTGGTCGTCTATTGGTCCCACACTGACCCCCATCTCCAGACACTTCTTACTGTGAGCCTTCGACTTCATGTGCTTTGTCAAGTTCCCTTAAAAAAAGATATTTTCTGCATTAGTTTTCAATCCACCAGTCATATTAGCCATGTGTCTATGCTAATGTGTAACATCATAGGGCTAAGACAAAGGGAGAAGACTACCCACTGCTTCCAAAGGGCTGGTCTATGTAAGGCCCTGTTTAGACGGAAAAGCAGGGGAGACGCTGCAGAGCAATTTGCAAAAATGGCCTGGCTTTGTATACGAAGTGCTCAGCGTCTAGCGCCCGGCTCGTAATGGGCAGTGGAACTTCACAACACGAAATGCGTGACCCCCCACTACTTACAAATTCCTCAACAACATCCTTCTCAGGCCACCAGAAAGCCAGGGAAGTATGCTCTAACATAATTCTCCATTTAACAGTAGCAGCGAAAAGGGAAACTGCAACTACAGCTTCATATAGTTTCCTTGGACGGACGAAGGAGTAGAATTGCTCCTCCATGTAATGTTTGAAGGCTACATAGCATTAGTTAATCCACTGCCAATGTTGTTTACATTAGTTTTTGGCTACTGCGCATGCCCAAATGTATGTGCGGGGATGTGGTGAGGTCATTGCAGCCCGAAAATTCACATCTTTTCCTTCACATAGTTGTGATACAGCCCCCCGCTGCGCAGGGTATTCGTTTTGTTCACACACTGGAGGCCGTTTTGCAATGCTTGCATTTTCATCCTGCTGAAACATTGTCTCCGTGTAAACGAAAGGTCAATCCGATACCCAACTCAATCATTTTATTGTTTCACCATCTCTGTAAATGTTAAGGAAGCAGATACGGTCTCCACATTCAAGGCCAGGCTTAAAGCACTCTATTTTAATTTAGCATATAATTAGGCTGTTTGCCTGGATCGGTTTGCACACTTGGTGTGCAATCCATGAATCTTGGTGCTGTAGCCAAGGCTAGCCTAGGCGTGGCTGCTGCTGTCTCACCTCCTTTCAGATACACTCTTTTTATTCAAGGCTAGGTTTAAAACAGTCCTCTTTAGTTTAGCATATGGCTAGGAAGGTAAGTCTCAGGGAAGGTTAAACTCCTCAGACTGTCAGTCAAGCTGCATAGGGAGTCAGTTAGCTGGAAGAAGTTAGCTTGAGCACTATCCTCTCCTCCTTCCTACTTTATCTGTTTAGCATAATTAGGATTTTGACTGTAGTTTGTTCATTGCTATTCACCCGTTGTCCCATTGTCTGTTTCACGGTACGATGACGGGACCTCTGGACCTGGCCCCCTCCATCTACACCTGCGGACTACCCTGCCTGACCCGCCTGGGAGTGCTTCAGTTCTGCACCGGACCTTTCTACGTTCAGCGGCCACTGGTCCACGTTCTGTAGCTAGCTTAGGTCCTGGATCATTAGCCTGTCCGTCCGGAGGAGCGGATCCCTTTCTCAAATGGGTCTCCCTCCCTGTGGGTTTCCCTAGGTCTCCCCAAGGTTTCTCACTTTTTCCCACCGGGTTTTTTATGAGTTTTTCTTTGCCGATACAGGAGGATCTTGTTGGACAGTTAGTGTCCAACAGAAAGGATTGGTGATGATCCAGGACACTTTAACATTCTACAACATGTATGGACGTTTATTTCTGTGTGTGCTTTATATTTTTCATGTGTTTTAACTGTTGATTCTCTGATCTGTGTTGGTGATTTCAATGGTTTTGTTATGTCCTCTGAGATGACTTCTGTTGTGACTTAGGGCTATAGAATAAATTGTATTGTATTGTATTGTATTGTATTGTAAATGTCTCCAAAGAGAAACACTGAAGGGCAACATTCCTCCTCCTCTTGCAAGCCGGTTCAGTCCTGCACTGCACAGCCGCAGTTGTCATTCTACAGCACGAGTCCTGGATCTACAACATGTCCGTCTGTGGGAGCGGATCCAACTCTCACGTTTTTCCCCACTTCACATTTCAACCTGTGTGATTCTCTGATTTGTTGTTGAGGAATTGACAAATTTATTAAGTCCTCAGAGATGGCTGGAGTGATGGCTTTTTCAACACAATGCAAAACAGTGAAAACCCCCTGGGAGACCCACATTGAGAGAGGGAAAGAATGTAGATCCAGGACTCAGTCCATAGATCCAGGACTAAGGCCATAGATCCAGGACTAAGGCCGTAGATCCAGGACTCAAGTTATGGATCCAGGACTCAGGCCATAGATCCAGGACTTAGGCCATAGATCCAGGACTCAGGCCTGGTGTTGTTGATGTGAGCTGTAAATGAAAGAGTCAAGTCCAGTATGACACCTACAATTCCTATTCATTTTGAAATCCATTCGGTTTAGGATTGTTGTCTGGATGAGTGCAAACTTAAACTCGTAGTGTCTTTGAGAGCCTGTTTAAGGATGTCACGTGTGATATTGTCAGCCTTAGTCTTCAAGGATAAGTTGCAGTGGTTGCAGAAGCAGGGCCGGACCGTTTACCTTTGGTCTTGAAGGAGAAGTTGCAATGGTTGCAGTGGTAGGGCCGCACGTCAGAGTGCGTACGGATGTGTTTGCGCAGCATACTGGGCTTCTTACAGCGGATACCACACTCCTCACAGATATACTTCCCTCTGCCGCGGCCGCGCACGTACACATACTCCTCATTAGATTTGTACCTAAGAACAGAGACCACTTAATGCTGGGGTACCTAACTGTCCATCTATGTATTAATAACATATAACTAGTATGTTATCTCTCACTAGTTTTCACATGCATTTTGTTGCCTTTGTCACATCTTTAGAACAGGACCACCCATATTAACTGTAAGTGCTAGACTCCACCAGATGTGCGTAAAACGGGATAGTGGTCACACTGGCTTCAGCAGTGCGCACCCCAGCGTGTTTAGGGCTTTGTTTTAACTTTAGACCATTCAAATAAAAGAAGCGGTGTGTGATTTGCCTGAGCTGTGGGTTTGATCTATGCAAAGCACTATTGAACCATCGAGGACGTTGTGATGAATGAGGCAAAACTTATGTAAAGCAATTGGTAAAAAGGGCTGGAGAGAGAAAAGAACTCCAACATATCCAGGCTTTTTTGAAAGCGTGTCAATATTGACATTACGTGAAAAATAAACGGCAGATTTACTATCATCAATTTAATACATGAAAAAAATGACACACATTTGGTAATAATCATTGTCATTAACAAACACTTATAACCAAGGACTACAAGCATATATCAATACATGTTAGGGGTGGGCGATATGGCCTAAAATTCATATTACGGTATAATTTGGGACACAGACGGTAGACGGTATATATTGCGGTATAATTTGGTGTGTGAATTTCAATATAGGCCTAGCAGGTTCTTGAATGAAATAGTCAAGATTGATACTTATTTAAATGTATTGTGCAAAACTGCAATTTTACAGAACATTATAAAACTTTAACTTCCAAGCAGCATTGCTGGGTTTCAACCACGTAACCAAAAGGGGGTGGGACATGTGTCCGTAGGACAGGAAGTATTTTTCTCCTATTAAATAGAATGGGCAATGCTGGAAAACGCAGACATAGGAGCTTTCCGCGGCTTAGTATCACTCTTATTATGAGTGAAAACTATTTTAATGCAGCGTACACTTTGTAGTGTTTGAATGAGTACATTTTTTTCAACAATGAGAAAGATTAAGGCTGTTATAGTGACGACAGTGGAGTCACTCTGGTATCAACAGAAACACGTCTGAGATTATAGTTCTGATCAATAACACAATAAATATGGCACATATCTTACTTTAGACAGCATTTGAAGCGAGAAATCTGACCCAGTACTGTCATTTCTGTGATTTGTTGAGCTGTAAATAACCAAAAGTACGGAGCTCCAGGGGGAGAAAATGTATTTAACAGTTCTTTCTTTCTATTGCCTCGGCTACTACAACCGTATGCCACACAAAAATACTGCATTGTATCTATGAAAGTAAGCGAAGTAAAGACTGCGGACTGTCTTCTGTGTCTGCGGCCGCAGATGCTACGCAAGCTAATACTAATGCTAGCGCATTTCTCCTATTCCTTATTAGGCATTTTCCTAAAAATTGACACCCGTTAGATACATATTTTTAGCAAAGTAGAGACTCCATAGGTTCCCCACTTGATATGAGCAGTTGCCACAACTGTACACGCCACATAAAAAGAGCATTTTAACTCGGAATCAGTGAATGTTTACATTGTTCTTAGTGGGGAAATGTACTTCCTGTCCCTCGGAGCACTTTCGTCACGTGCAACCCAGCAATTTGATGACATAATGACATAATCGCAATATGCCGGTATAACAAAAATCTCTACCGTTGGCTAAATTTATATCACATACCGCTTATACCGTTTATATCGCCCAGCCCTAATACATGTATAATAATGTAGTAAATACATTTTTCCTTTGTATTTCCAATGGAAAAAAGACCATACGCACGTCGAAGGACGCAAATAATAGGATTTTTTCTATTTCGTTTGTCCACGTCCATTGCACCCTGCGTGGACGCACTGCTGTTGCGGGTAGTGGACCCAATTCCGTAGGGGGAAACGGAGATGAAATGGACACGTTTGGATGGACACGTAGTACAGTTTACGCAGCTGGTGGAGTCAGGGCCTAAGTCCTAAGTGCAGATATTTTAACTGCTGAGCAATAACTTAAGCCTTGTAATCAAGAAGCTGAAACTCATGTTTAGACAAATGCATTCCATGATCAAAAAGCCATTCAGTCTTGATAATCTTCATAATGTCATATGCAGCAACAAGCTTACAGCTTTTTTAAAGCCCTACACTACATCTCTGTAAAGACAAAGTTCCCCACTGGGGAAAAATAATGTTTTAATTTTGGTTAAATATGTAGTCTGGAAATGAAAGCGGCCTACCCTCCGTCGAAGATCTTGACCCTCCTCGGCTCGCTCTTAGTGGTCAGCTCTTTCTCAGACTCAAGGTTGCTCTGGAGCTCAGGTAGAATTTTGGATCTGGATGATGATGATTTGGATTTCTGAGGTAATGGCAGCTGCAAAGACAAACGCATCACAATCCAGGATTTTTATGGTGGGAAAGATGCATTGCACGGCTCACTTTTCTGCATTAATACATCCCACTGTCTGAACTATTTACCCACAATTTCAAACATTTTCTAGGAAGTACATGTTCATCTTTGAGGACTTTTTCAGGTTTTCCATGACTGTGGGGACCCTTTGTGTTACGTATGATAAAACTAATTGGATTAATTGTATGCAAAATGTAATGCCACTTCCAAATATAATACACTCCTTCCTGCTGCTGAGTGTACTCGAATATTTTCAAACAATAGCCTAAAAAAAACAATGAATATGCACTATTGGACAGGCGCAAGCCTCTAGTTTGTTTACAGATACATACATCTTGTCCACAAACTGCAGTAATTGTTTGGCACCATTGTCTAAGTATGATTTGTCTTTATCCGTTCTTCTAGTATTTCTGTCGAGTCATGTTATTGGGTTGAATTGATTGGCGCTAATATGCAGATGCATGAGGCATTCAGCCCAATAAATGGCACTAGACAATTGTACACCACACCCCTTAAACAGGAAAATGAATGAATGATTCCCAAACTGAATATTCACTTGTGATATTTAGTCTGGAGTTTATAGCCATTAAGGCCATAACTTTGGTTCCATCTGTTGTAAAATCTTTGTATTTATTTAATGTTTTAAGTATTCAACTTTAAACTCCCATCCCAAAGTCATTTTCTAACTTGATTATAATAGAAGGTAGCTTTATACTGCTGTTTTTCCCATGTGACAACCTGGATCACTCTTGGATCAAAATGTGACTAAACTGACATTGAATTACGGAAAGAAAAAAGTGACAATGAACAGATAAGACCAAACTCAAAAGTTGCTTGATTAAATTGAAATTAAACGTTGAATAAGATATTGATAAGGGACAATGCAGGAAGTACATGTTAAATTCTACAATAATCAATGTTTGTTTTGTTTTACACTCTGCCAAAGACAATTAGTTCAAAGACAATTATCACGGACCTTGGGCATGACATCCTTCAGTTTTCCGGCGTATGACAAAACATCTTTGCTTCCGCTTGTCTTGATAGCCGAAGTGTAGAATAATTTTTTGGAGCTCTGTTTGGAGTCAAACAGTGACATCACCACTTTAGTCGGCAGCCCTAGTGGATTCGGGTTATTGGGCAAAATAGACCAAGCCGAATACGCAGAGATTTTCATGTCGGTCTGCTGAACGTGAAGCGACCTCCTCCTCATCAGAAAGCACCATGTGTAAGTTGTTGTGGTTTTGAGACTTGGGAATGACAAGCGATGGCTGTCTTTTGGGTTTACCACGGACACAGATGCAGTCAGCTTGACTTGTCCGCTGCTGAAATTGGAAAGTCTCATTGGAGATTTTGCCAGTAGCCACTTTTGTTCTTCTCTGTATTGCATCTTTGAAACTGGCACAGACTGGATTGTGCTAGTCTCTTCCGGAATAATAGTACACGTTTCCTTTGCTAATCCTGTGCAATCAGGAGACATTGGCTTGACGTCATCTTCGCTAGCATTTTCTGGTTTAGGCGGTGATAATGGAGGTGCTTCAGTTTCGATGGGACTGTCCACTGGTTCAGTCGTGCAACTCTGTCTAACGAGCATCAGCTTTCTTTGCCTTGTAACTTCGGCCATTTTAGAATTCAGATAATTGATAGATCTTCCATCAGTGAGGCAAGCTACGCCATGTTCGTCCTTTGCACGTTTTTGATGCTTTTCCATGTAAATGTCGAGGCTGTTGGCTGGCGAAAGCATGCGTTTACTTGACGCGGTTGGCTCTTGTTGAGGACACAGCGTAACAGAGGCTAGTTTTTGCGTGCATTGCATTGGTCCTATTGAAGAAGCTAGTTCTGCATTGCTATTATTAACTAGATGGATTAGAGGATTCTCTTTCCTGGCATTATTGTCTGTAGATAGAGTTGGCGTAACTATATTTTTTGGTACTGGGTAAATTTGCTCATTAGTTATCAAAATTTGTGGCAACGGTATGGCACTTGCTTGCGGCTGTGTCTCTGGCTGGCTAGCTTGTTGTGCAACATACACATTTTGGTTGAAGTCTGAAGACTTGGAGATCCCCAAAATAGGATTGGCAATGGGTATGGTTAACACTGGCAGAGCGATTTGAGCCCCATGAGTGTTTGAGAAGGTAAACGTTTGGCATGGCCTGAGAGTGGAACAAGGAAGTTGGTACTTGGGCACAAAATTAATCTTCTCTTCTTTTTCCATTGGCTTGTTTTGCAAATTTTCCTGGCGAACTAAAATCTGTTTGAGTGGCTGTAGAGACTTTTGGCAGATCTGAACTCTTGAGGTTTGGTGCCAGGGATGTGGAAGCCCGTGAATTTTAGGTTGTAATGTTGGACTACCCAAGTTTATACATTGCACGAGGTGCTCATTCTTTTGCAATGGCTTCTCTCCAGTTTGAAGCACAAAAGGTTTTGTTGTATTCCTACTGGCAATATGAATTTCCTGCGACTTCGATTGCATTAGTGAGTAAACATTTGCTATTTTCTCCAGTGACGCAAAACTTTTCCGAACAGGTAGCTGGCTTTCGGGACCTATTTTTAATGACATCTGCCTTACTAATGGACCACGTCTTCTTTCAATAAGTGGTACTTGCCCAGTTTTCGGCAGGCTGATAGGCGATGGGGACCTGCCTGGTGTCATATTACCGCAATCGAAAGACTTGCTTCTATGCTCAGTGGAAACCTCAACAGATGGTTGTGTGCATGTAATTTGTTCAGAAGCTGCACGACGCATAACTCCTGGAACATTCAGTGTGTTAAAAGCAGCCGGTAAGCCTTGCAAATCGGAATTTTTGTTGACATAATCGGCTCGAGAAGGGCTTTCCGATCTCAAAGACTCTTCTCTATCAAAAGACGCAGATATACTGGAACCACGAGACAAACTGCTATCTCTACTAAGACTTCTGGACAAACTTGACTCAAAACTAGATTCTCCTGAAGATTGATCCATTTGCGCTAATCGAATTCTTTTCTTTTTAGGTGGTAGCTTTTCTGCTGGCAATTTGGACAAACTTTCGCTTCTTTGTGGCCAGCTAAATTGATCACCTGGCTTGTCTGTCGAATCTAAAGTTTGTGAGTCAGTTTCTCTATCTGGTTCTTCTGTTACGAGTATTTCAGGAACTTGGATATTGTTTTGGCGAACAAGTCTAGACTGGTGCACAGGGGTAGTTGGGATTTTTCCAACTTTTCCATTACTGTATTCAGTATTTTGTGCTTTCCCAAAATCTGCACTGTTGGATTTTGTTTCATGACAAGTTTCTTGTAGAATATTTTCTACTTGGTTGAGTTTTGCAATATCTTTCTCCATAGTATCCACTGAAGATGCTCTGTCCATAGACTCTCTTTCTATTGAATTTGGTCTGCTTAACGAATTTGTATGACGTATCACTGACGTTCCACTCCCTTGTCTTTGCAACTCTCCTTTATTTGCACTCTTTGTCTCTCGTATCGGTGAAAGCCTGGCGTCTGACGTACCTCTTGCTACAAGTTGAATTTGAGGTTGCTTAGTTTGATTGTTTTTCAGTTCATCTAAAACTACAGCATGAGAAAATGTCTTTTGCTGTCCTGAATCAAAACTAACTGAACAAGGCGGGACTGTATCCGTTGGCGACTGATCATCCTCATCCCCAACACTTTTCATTTTCATTCTGCGTTTTCTAAAAGATGTCTGTTGGTCGATAATTCCAGAGCCAGACACAGACCGCGAGATGGTCGGCTGTTGCATGTGTATATGGAAAACCTCTGGCTCCACTTCTTTAACTGGCTTGTTTTTTGGCCCGTGCAATTCAGAGCAATAAAACTTTTTGTGGGTTTCAAAATTTTCCAACTTTCTGTACCGATTTCGACACGTTTCACATTCGTACATTGTGCCTTTATTTTGGAGTGGCTTCCTGGCTTTGTCTTGGGTGTGTTCGAATGATCTGCTACGTTGCATCAATTCGTTCAGATTAGTTGGATGACCTTGATAACCCTCATCCATAGACCGTACAGTTGGAAGACAATGTCCTTCATGATTTGTTGAGAAATCTTCTACAGCAACTTGTCGTACCAAAGTTCGTCCATGCATTGCCGGATTTGGCGTGGGAGGTGCGGAAGAAAATACGTCATCGTTCAGCGTGCTAATTTTCTCATCGAAAGACTGGCAAATTCGTAATGGGTGTGGAAGAGAGGGGACATTAACAGGCAAAGCAGAGTGTCCTGTAGTAGTTGGCATTGAATTACTTCGAGTTATCGGCAAACAATCCATTGGGGGGTATTGGGAAGGCACAGAGAGCAAGAACACAGGTTTTGACTTGTCTGTGGGTGTGAATGGCGATTTTGGGATGTCCGAACTGGAACTCGACCTTCTTCCCATTGGCTTAAGATCGAATTGAAAAGAATCCTTGAAAATGTAGGATTTGGGAGAGTCTATGCTACCTCTTCTTGACAGAGAAGTCCGTCTTGGTTTAACACTGTCCAGTTGCTTATTGTCAACCACTGCTTCATTGTCTGAAATCAACTTTGAAATCCGTTCTTCGAGCGATAGCGCTTTTGGCTCCAAAGGTGGTTGCATCTGCCCTTTAACTGGCCTCCCATTGGGCTCACTTTGCATGTTTTGTGCAAGCATCATTGTTGCAAGAACTGGTGACACATTTGGAAAAACATTTTTGTCTATCTCTACAGGAGGAGTTATTTTCACAAAAGGGCTTGGTGGACTCATGGCTTGGTCTGCACTTTCCGATCTGGAGAAATATCCTGAATCCGTGCTACCCAAACTCCGTGGACTGAGCAGGCATTTTGGTTGCTGTTGTTGGGAGAAATCTGTAGCTTGTTGCCTTTGGAGTTGTGCATGTCCTCCCAGTAATGGCGACTTGCACTGTTGGTCCTCATCTTCGCTGACATCTATCGAAGCACTCGTACCATCAACCTCTTTCAACGATGACAAAACTGTGACGCTTGATCTTAAACTGGATGATTGGAATTCCCGTTGGCGTGCTGCTGCTTGCTCGGGCGCTGCCATGGTAACTCTTGGGCTGTCCGCTCTCAATGGAGAAACATTTACAGGATATACAACAACTTTTGGAAGTGCAGCAGGCACTTTTGGCTCATAAGACTTCTGTGAAACTTTGCAAGAATCAACTGGTTCACTTTGACCAGCTTGGTTCAACATTTCTAAACTTTTCGAAATGACATTACTTTGCGTCAAATCTTGTTCTAGTTCATGGTTACTGCCTTCTTCGTCACTTTCGCCAGTGTATTCTGCCTCTGAATGCGTCCCAGAACTTTTTTCCAACTCCTGCGATAATGATCCACCTCCTGATTCCGATCTCGACATCAATCCCAGTTTAATCGCATGGGCATGTGATTTCTTGTGCTTGTACAAATTGCTTTTAGTTTTGAACGAGAATCCACAGGTCACACACGGATATGGACGTTCGCCTGTGTGCGATCGGATATGTTTCAACAGCACGCTGGGTTTGGCACAAGCTCTGTTGCAGTATTCGCAAACATACTTTCCTGGCTTTTTTGGCTTTTGGTCTTTAGAAATCTCACTGAAGTTCATTACCGTGGCCATTTGTACTTGGTTGCTTCCTGGTGTTACTGGTACTTGGATGGTACTTGGAACACTTGCAGATAAGGACCGGCATGTTTGCACGATTGGGGGTTGGCTTTGCGGCAAGGCATTTGTCACATGTGTCATTGCCACTGCTCCAGGGTTAAAACTCACTTGTATTCCTGGCTTATCCTGATTTGCAACTGTTATGAAATGAGTTCTGCTTTGCAAACTTTGCGTCCCTGACTGGCCTGCTCCTTGTAAGGGCCCTGCGATGCTGATAAAGTTCCCTTGTTTGTCAATATAGTATGTTTGCATGTGCGAAGACGGGATCTCAATATCAAGCGCTGGCACAGCTTGAACGTCTCCAATGCTCGCTTGTGTGAGAACTTTGCCAATAGGCAGATTTTTCCTCTCTGCTAAAGTGCTAAAATCGGGTTCCATGGCTTTTAGTAAGACATCCAGAGGCGCACTGATATGACACGGCTCTTCCTCCAGTTTGCAAGATTGAGTTTGGCCAATTTCAGCAAGAGATGGTTGAGATGTCTCCACAGATTTTGACTTGGTCTTAAATGCGTGCTCAGAAGCTGGTTTAGACTCCTTTACTATACTTTCTAACAACGGAACCTCTTCTGTTGTGGATTTTGCAGTTAATTCAACATATTTTAAGTCTGCTTGCCCACCAGCTGGAGCTGTGTGGAGGTGAGTGGGACTGTTTGATACGGAGGAAGAGCACTGAGGAGTTTGGTCTGGTGTGTCTTGAGCAGCCGAGTCTGGTAGTTTTGACTGCAGAGGTTTCTTCACTGGAGATTTGGGGATTTTCTTGAGTTGGTTTCCCGCTACAACCTTCTTCCTCTTCAGGCTCTGGGACTTGTCAACATTTCTGCGGCTGCTGTCCGACACACCTAAAGACAGAGCAGATATGTCATCAAACTCACTGAACCTTGAATGAAGAAATATTATGCATTTGTTTTGGCCTTATAATGAAATTATGGTAAAACTTTATAATAACTACACCTTATTTAGACTTAATAAATGTTTAAATAACACTTCATTAATCATGAACAATTCATTGACTCAACACTTAATAACTACTTAACTACTACAGTTATTAAATGCTTGACTCGTAATGAATAAATCTTCAAGTACTTTACTTGTTCATGATTATTTAATAATTTAATAATTATGAAGTAATCATTTGTTACTACATATATAGATTGTTTGTTACACCATGATTAAACCACATGTTAATAATTGTATACTTCATTGTCAACTAATACTGCAGTGCATGATTTATTCAGTCAGTTACTAACAGTTAAGAGTTTTTGTGAGCTTTTGTAAAATGTACACTATTTACACATTTGTTAATCATTTATTAATACTGCAGTGCATGACTTATTGGAGGATGACTAACGTTTTTGTATGACAATAATAAGCCATGAAACATGAATACAGAATATATATGTATCTTTTAAATTGCTTCACAAAGCTATAACAGGCCCATAACAATGAAACAATAAAAGGCCTCCAAATTGGCCCCATGAATTAAATACACATCTTTGCAAAACATGCACAAACATGTATAAACATTAAAAATCAAATTCAAGTAACACAGGAAGAACACTGTGAAGAATGGAGAGGTTCTTTTATGGTTGGGGACACCGTCGACAGACTCCAGTTAGAGAATCCTCAATCAGCTGTATTGCAGGTTTGGCAGGAGATCACAGTTTGTACATTGTATGCTAAGGAAACAGAAATAGACAAAGGAAAACAGTATTAAAAAATATTCTATAGCGAAGAACACATTAAACAATCAATAGCTTATGTGTATGGGCTAGTAGGAACTAAAAAAAGTCATCAAATTAATAACAAAAATCCAACATAGGTCCAACATAAAGTTGTGAGATAAAGTACGTAAATAAGTGATGTAAACCAAAAACAGTGGTAGCTCAAATGGAAACTATCATTACGATGGTGCAGGAAAATAGATATGACAAATAATAATAGCATAATTAGCTTAATGTAGCATAGTTAGCTTGATTAGCTGCAGACAAACACAGATCGGGAAAACTCTCTTTTGCAAATATTTAGAAACTGCACAACATAAATCTTCCTTCCCAAACTCTTCTAAAGATCACAAGAACTACAGGAACTTACTTCTTGGGTCATAAAAACGCACAAACGAAGTCTTTTCCTCCCTTTTGCGGTGTCCCTCCGTGTGTCAAAGCAGCTCAGTGGCACCCATAGACTGTATATATTAACGGACAGAGTCACGCCTATCTCCGCCGTTCAAAAGAGTTGGCCAAAAATAGTGCTCTCATGGAGCAATCCAAGATGGCCACGAGTAGTCCCGCCTACAAGAAAACTGTGAAATAAACGCTTTCTGGGCGTAGGTAGGTAGTCTATGGGGCGGAGACTCGGAGCGCACTGACTGATTTGCGCATGCGTCAGCTGACGCACATCAGGCAGTGATCAGGCAGCCGCATGGCTTCATGGTAGTGGTGACGCTGCTTCTTTTTTTTTTTCTTTTTTTATTGGCATATATAATATATTACAGTATAGACATTATAGATTACATCATAAAGATTTTCTTTTATTGACCGGTAGTGAGAGAGGGGAGAAAGAAAAGAGAGAGACTAATAATAATAGTAATACTAATACTAATAATAATTTTAATAGTAAAAACATAGGACGAGTTGAGGTGCTATAATCCAAGAGAGGGGGGGGGGGTTCATACCAAAAACATATTGTTTTTGGTATGAACGTAAGTAATCTTTATCCAATCAATCAATTTTGAGCATTAGTCTTCTCATTCACACAGAGATGGGAGCGAGTTGGTAGATGATTAGTGTTACTCTTCCAGCAGCATCCCTGCATAATGTGTGATCGTGTGGTGCATTAAAAAACAGGTTTGGGATGTTGTGCATTAAAAGTGTATGCTTGAGATGCATGTGGGAAGAGGACTTATTTTTTGTTATTTATTTATTATTTTGTTATTTGTTATTTATTTATATATTTGTATTAATTATTAATTATTAATTCCTTTAATTTATTCTTATTCCCGCCTCATCAACATATCACCATAGAATGTATGTATATCTATCTATATAAGACATAAAACAGGGGTACAGTGGTGTAGCAGCAGGGAGAGAGAGAGAGGTGTGCAAAATACAAAGTGACATAAATAGTGGTAATAGGTAAAGTATATAAGGTTAGCTTATGAGTGGGGTCTGGGATGCGTGGGGTGTATTGTCTGAGGTGTGGTTGGGGGGTATGTCTTGAAGTGAAATATAATCTGACATTAAGTTTTCCCATGTGGAGATGTGTATGTTGGTTTTGGATTTCCAGTTTATGAGTATTGTTTTTTTGGCGATAGCTAGCGACATTAAAAGATACTTTGATTTACCTTGATTGATGGGGAGTGTGGATATGTCTCCTAGAAGACAAAGGGATGGGGACATTGGGATGTTGCAGCCAAGTGAAGTGTTGAGTGATTGAGTGACGGCTTTCCAGAATGCTTGGACCGGAGTGCAGTGCCAAAGAGCGTGAATGCAATTGTCCCTACAACCCTGTGTGCAGTGTGGGCAGATGTCTGAAGTGGATCCCATTTTTGATAATTTGTAACCGGTGTAGTGATATCTGTGTAGGATTTTGAATTGTATGAGTTGGAGGTTGGAGTTGGTGGTCATTGAATACATATTTTTGCAGATTTGGGTCCAGAAGTTGGCACTGGGAGTAAATGCTAAATCTTTGCAGTTGGAAGAGATTGTGTATTATCTGATTTGGTGATTATTTTGTATATTTTGGTGTTCAGTTTTTTGGGGGGGATATTTATGAAATCCGCAATTGTATCATGAAGGCCTAGATTTATTGTTTGGATGTTGATTTTTTTTTGGATTGCTGATTTTAGTAAGTATTCGAGGAAGCATTTACTCCCAATGCCATACTCCTGGGCCAACTGTGTCAGTGGTTTTAAACTGTTATTTGTGAGAATGTGATTGAGGTGAGTTATACCTTTATCTGCCCATGAATGGAAGTACAGAGGTTTATCATTGCTTGTGAATTCTGGGTTGTGCCAAATTGGGGAGCGGATGGATGGGGCAAGGGGGGTGTTCGTGGAGTTTCCACCTGGCTGTCAGAGCTGCCAATATTGTTGGTGTTTTGAAAAGTGGGTATTTCTTTATTGATTGATTAAGGAAGGGTAGGTCTGAGAGATTGATGTTATTGCAAAGTGATTGTTCAGTGTCCATCCAGATTGAGTCAGATGTGTTTGAGTGGGTCCATTTGTGTATGTACTGTAAATGATTAGCTAATGAATAGTGGTAAAAATTTGGGGCATTGAGACCTCCCTGTAGTTTTGGTTTCTGTAGTGTTGCGAGTTTGATACGGGGTGGTTTGTTTTTCCAGTAGAATTTGTTAATGGCAGAGTTGAGTGATTTAAACCAGGTTTGAGTAGGTTGAACAGGGGTCATTGAGAGTATGTAGTTGATTTTGGGAGTATTGACATTTTAACCAAAGAGATTCTGCCTGTGATTGAAATGGGGAGATTCATCCAGCGTTGTAAATCTTCTTCTAATTGTTTGAGTAAGGGGGGGAAGTTGAGAGAGAACAGCTCTGAGAGCCTGGGTGAAACCTTTATTCCCAGGTAAGTGATGTGGTTTGAAGAGAGTGGGACAGGAGGTGTGATGGCTGCAACATCCCAGTAAGGGGACTGAATTGACTGTAAGGGGAGAATTGAGGATTTACTCCAGTTGATTGAATATTGTGAGAGTTTGGAAAATGATTCGATGAGGTTTATTGTGTGGTGTAATGATGAAGGTGGGTTTTGTAAAAAGAGGAGGATATCGTCTGCATACAGGCTGATTTTGTGTTCGATTGATTGTGGTTGGAATCTTTTGATTTGGTTATTTTGGCGAATTGCTGCTGCAAGTGGTTCTAAGACAGGGGTGTCAATCATACGGCCCGTGGGCCGGAACCGGCCCCCAAGGAGGTTCGATCAGGCCCGCAGGATAATTTGAAAGTGGAAAAAATGCATAAAAGACATGGAATTAATATTTTTTATTTGCTGCAATTCATGGATTATCCGCTAAGGGGCGCACTCTTTCCATCAGAGTAGAAGACAAGCCGCATCACTGAGACAGACTGAAAACAGCAGACGGTATCAATGCGCCATCTGCTGCTTGTTACGACGTTGTTAATACCTTGGTCTCTACCTCTCCGCTACACCCTCACTAGCCAAAATGTCGTTATCCAAACGGAGAAAAGTAGATAAGGAGTGTAGAATTTTCAAAGAAAAATGGACCACGTCCTATTTATTTACAGAGATGCACGGAAAACCTTTGTGCTTGGTGTGTTTGCAACAAGTTTCGGTATTGAAGGAATATAATATTCGACGCCACTACGAGACTCATCACAGCGAAAAATATGACTGCTTGCAAGGACAACTGAGAAGAGATAAGATTAACGAATTGCTGGCGGGTCTGAGGAAACAGCAGTCAACTTTCATCAAGAGCCGAGAAGTAAGTGAAGCAGCGGTAAAAGCCAGCTACCTAATTGCTAGCGAAATAGCATTAGCATCGAAGCCGTATTCCGACGGTGACTTTGTTAAACGATGCATGATGAAGGCGGCTGAACTTGTATGTCCCGAGAAACGACAAGCTTTTGCCAATATTAGCCTGACGAGGAATACTATAGCAGAGAGGATATCGGAACTATCGGCAGATTTAGACAGTCAATTGAAACGAAGAGTCAAGTCATTTATTGCATTTTCCGTGGCAACTGACGAGAGCACTGACATCACAGACGTGGCCCAACTGGCCATATTTATTCGAGGAGTTGATGAGACATTGACTGTTACTGAAGAGTTTCTTGAGTTGGTGCCAATGATGGACACCACAACAGCCGA